TGCTCTTCCTAGTGTATATTGATATAATTATGCATATAATGTAGCTATCTTAGAGCGTTGTAATGCATGTAGAATTTGGCGCAATTGATCCTCTCAATTTCCCCCCTTAGCGAGTATATAGTATGCATAATATTGGTTGAAAGTAACATATTCTATCTTAGTTTTCAATAATACATGCATCTTAAGAATAAAATTTATTGTATGGTGATCTCTGTAGTAACTTACAGCCTCAAAATTTCTAATATAATGCTTTCAAAAGTATGCAAAGTATTTTTTGATAGTATATAAAAAGATATATAGGCGGTTTGGTATCATTTTGATACAATTATTACCAAATTACCATTTAAACACAATTTTCCCTGAAATTCACCACAGTAAGTATTGCACAAAATATAAAACAAAGGCGTATTATTAATAAAATACGAAACAACTATTCTAGAACACAATATTAACAAATGCTCTTTCTTGATAGAAATAAGAGAAACAGTTAAAATATCAAATAAGAGTATTCCAATATTGATCAATGAAAAATGTTATCTAAAACCTGAATCAAAGCAGCATTGAATTTAAAGATTTAGTGACAGCTCATGAGGTTAGCTCTCATTCAAAAGTGAGTGAAGAAGAAAAGCTTCATAACTTCACAAATATTACAATGCCGAAGCATAAACGTATATGGCTAGTGTATATCAAAGGAAACTGGATTTATTCATAGTAGCCTCCTTTTTTACTACAACAAGACAGAAATGAATAAGATTAATACTGAAGAATTAGATGAGATATATTAAATAATAAGATCACATTCAAAATGTATCTAGTTTGAGAAGAAACGAATAGTTTTCAGGGATTAAATGGTGTGAATATTCATAGGAGAGTTAAATTATACTAAAATGTGCCTGTTAAATATAAAATAGTAAATATGTGTTTATGTTAAAATCACATAGAATAGTATTTTCATACAAGCAGATAATAATTTGAACATAAACTAAATTAAACAGAAGTCAGAAAGAATTAAAGTAGTTTGTATCACATTTGCGATAATTGTAATAGAATTTATTCTTTTAATTTACATTTTTGATATTTATATTAAATATTTATAATGAAAATAAGCAATTCGAGATATGGTTGGTTAAATCTTTTTATTTATATGCTAAATTTAGAACATGTACATAGAAAAATACCATGGTTTGAAGGCATGTAGTATTCAAATAAGCATGTAGTTTAAAACATTTAATATAAACCATTAAACACAAATATTTACTGATATTATAATTCTTACGGTTGTTCTAATCTAGTTTTATATCTCCAATGCCTTCACTGAATTTAACCTTACTTATGACAATATTAGAAAACAACTAATGTATATAATTAAACAACATGCCAGCTACACCTCTCTATGAGTTATTGCTACGATTTTGTTTTATTCACCAACATGATTGACACCTTACCTATTTTACATAGCCTTAATTTATTATACGTTTAATATCAATACAACGACATAAGATATCTACAAAAAATCATAGTTTGTCTAATTTAAAAATGTACACATTAATTAGGTGTAATTAATGAAAGAAAATATTAACTTTTCATATGGTATTGATGTAGAAAACAATATTTAAAGTGTAGTTTGTTAACAAAGCAAGATATAATTATTAAATATAGTTTTAAATAACACCACTATGAAAATACAAAAGAGTTCATGTGTTGCAGAAAATTATTAACCAAAATTTATGTAATTAGTGTGTGATAATACTTTGAAGTTTTAATACATTTCCTAAAAGTGCTAAAAATATACCTAATATAAAGAAACAGCTTATAACACCGAAATCGAAGTTTATTAGCAACGTAACATAATTTATTAAATGGTATATGACACTTTTCACTCCCTTCAAAAATACATGGTCATTTAAGTGCTCATTCCGATAAAAATATTCTTTTATTACTTAATAAAAATATTTAATGTGTATCCACTCTATTTATACTTAATTCTTTTATTAACCATTATATCACTTTAAAGCTAAAATATTTTCATCAAGGAACGAAAAAACATGTCTAGAATTGTGTTCTGTAATATCAACAATGCCATACAGTCTATTTATGGTGTTTCTAACTTAAGGTATATAAAATTAATAGGTTTTATCTGTAATCTTTTGTTTCCTTTGTAGACGAAATGTATTTTATAAAATTTTAAAATAATTAATTAATAGTTTTAATAATAAATGGAATGGATTGTAAAATGATTAATGTTTTTTATATAGAGATTATACACAAATTTTATTCAACAAATTAGAGAATTGTAAATCAAAGTTTTGTGTTGATTAAGCAATTTAATTTAAAGTCTAAGTATGAACGTATTTACTTTGCTTAGACCAAGAAATCTGTGTAGTTGTGCAAAAACAAAATAAGTATACATTATTTTTCACTCTAACAATGAAAATGTTAGTTTCATAAGCGATATTAATCATTTGAAATACAGCATCGAACAATTTTTAATGATTATTGCCTTGAATTACATAATGTATCTTAATCACATCATATATAATTTAACTTTATTGTTGTCGGCTATTGCATTTTATTTTAAATTATTTTACACAACAATTTTTACTTGTCTGGTGAATGGATTATTAATAACTTATTTCCACAAAGCAACTGAATTGTATATCTTTAGTCTTATAGAATAAGTATACTTTTATATATTGACATTTTGTTCAAATAGAATAACAAATAAAAACATTAACATTACTACGAGCTAAAAAATCAAATCTACACAATCCAGACATCGCAAAGATTTAGTATAAATAGAAGAGAACAACACCATACATATAAAATTTCCTCCTTAAATGATAATCCAATAACCTGGAATTCACACATAAAATTTTTTATAGTAAATATTGAGTCTTACCACCAACCATAGGATGAATCATATGCAAAGCCTGATGTAAGAGAGCATATACCTTATCCTCTATAAGTGCCCGCCTTGGCAGAAATAAGAGATAAACCAAAGAAGGAAGCACAGTAGAACATATTAACACACACGAATAATAAATAAAAGTACCAAAATATCCGTAAACATAATAAAAGAAATCACCAAAACTCGTTGTCTGAATATGGTGAACCTGAAAATCCAATGACCGACTGGAATGTTGGTACGCTCACAAAAAGCAGGTAAGGAAAATGTCTATGCCTCCACATATATATGGGAAAGCTAAACTACAAAAGTATATGGTCGGTGGAAACCAAAGGTAGCTAAATAGATTTTTAGATGTTATGTCTCGGTTTTTTTCTCCTGCAGCAGCAACAAAAATGGATAAGATAAATGCATCAAATCATATAATAAATGTCTCTTGTTAACTATATGTTAAAAGATACTGTAACTAAAAAAGAATTGGAAATATTTATTTCCATTATTTTAGAGAATATGTAATTTTTACAGATCAGTTACTTATGTAATGAATTTACTGTACTCACCATAACAACAAACATTTATTTTATAACGAAAAATTTAAAGTTTTCATATAAGACATGTAGATGTAATATTCTTATTAAAAATAAAAACATCTTTTACATACTGTTTAATAATGTTAAATTCATTACATTCTAGAAGTTATATCACGTAATAATAATTATCAAAGTATTTAAGTAACACTAATTGTAACATTGCATTATTTAAATTATATAGAAACCAACATAGGTGTATTTTACAAGTATGATATAATCATGTGATAAGTGTTTACAATAAGCTTTAAGTAATTTTGAAAAACGACATATAAAATCGTATGAATTTATGATGGTATTTTTTAAACATTATATTTAATTTTTGCAAAAAATATCATCAATAAAAAGCATGTGAAATATTGTGAGAAAGTTATGCATTTATACATATAATATTTAACATACCGATCTGTACATTGCAAACAGCTATATACATTGAAAATATATCACTATTCTTTTTTCAAAGAGTATTTTATATGATTAACAACATATCATACTTAAACATGTTGCTTTGAACAGATAACATTATGGAATTGTATTTAAATAATTATTTACAATAAAACACTACGCGTTAATTTAATGTTAACATAAAAGAATATATTATAACATTATTATGCTAATAAGAATTTGACTTTTTGATGATTCTAAACATATTTGTTTTTAGTTAATTAGGATTAATTAAAAGAATCAGTATGTCATTAGCTATTATTTTGGTGTGATTAACATAGTCTTTCACATTTTAAACTTTGTATATCTAAAATTCATTAAAAACAACAAATGACCAACACAATATAGTTAAATAAAAGTGATATTCTTTAGGACGTTAACTCAGGATTGATATATTTAAATTCTTTGATAATAACACAAGAATTATACTGGTTTAACATCCAATAATTGATTATATGCCTATGTTTAGATATAGTAATGTATTCTATATGTATAATGTGATTAATTCACACATACATTATAACAAGATTGATTAACTCTAGATGTTTAATTAAACTCTGTTTATTATATATGTGTATAGCTGTTTTGTTTTTATCTTCTATTTTTATGTATATTAATAGTTAAATAGTTATTTAAAAACACTTTTTTTATTTTTTCATAACGTTGTCATTATTTGCAACAATATATTTTTGTGACTAAGCCCACTAACAAATAGAAAATTTAAAGATGTAAATTACTAACGAGATTACCACGAAACAATTTTTTACAACACATGTATTGCTAAAATTTAATTGTGATAAATTATTTACATAACATTAAATAATTAATGTATATTGCAGGAATGGCCAAAAAAATTGCTGCTCCGTATAAGGAATCACGACGTTTTTTTGTAGTTAGTGTTCATCTTTATCGGGTTAATCACTATCTCAGAAGATAATTAAAAATTTGCTATTTTTATCAATCACCATTTCCCAAACATGGATCCTCTTATTGATCTAACTTCAACCATTCTGTGCTTATATTTATTCTTCATTGTTCAATTTTGTCTAGTTTCTTAATTTCATCGATTTTTAGGCACTTGATTCGGGTATACCCAAATGACCTGAAATCACTGTATTGTTTTATTTGTTTCCACCCAAAATACCAGAAATGCAACAAATTTGTCTTCAAACACACTGTTTTTTGATATGCATTATCTTTGTGCTATGTTGTTTTTCCTTTCGATAAATTTAAATTCATTGAATGTGTTCGGTAATCATATTTTGTTACCAATAACATCTATTTGCAGACAAACACGATGTTATGCTCACTTCTTTGATACAGACTAAGATAACCAGACAATGATATTAAGACTCTATTCAATCTCATCGGCATGTTGGCGCATGTACCGTTCTTCTAGCGTGTATACTTGTTATTGTAGTGTTGAGTCAAACGATAGATAATAATTCCCACTTTCTTTTATACCTTACTGTCAAATCAACAATTGATCAAACCAATGTGTAAACTTTTT